CCCCCATCTGCTCTATTAACATGGAAATACTGTATATGCAGACGGCACAAAGCCACAGCTGCTGGTTTATGATGAGTCACTGCGTCAGATTCAGTATATGTTAAGTTTCAACTGGCCGTGTATGATCGCTCAATGGGCTTCCTGAATTAGTATCTTGGATATTGAATATTTGTGTGAGTGGGTGTTGCCAACTACCAAGTGAGCAGATTGGATCCTGGACAGGCAGGAGTGGATAGGTGGCTGGGGGTTGGGGGGAGCGTTCGGTTTAAGAACTTCAGCAGTTCATGGGGGTGGGGAGTGTGCTTGGGTGCAAAGTCATTTTGAGGGGGAAGAGGGGATGTGGTTTGTTGGGTAGTAGGGGGTCTGAGGCATACCAGGCATTACATGCCGTCTAAAATTAGCAGCAGCTGTCTACTGGACATTCTGGTGTGTTTGTGTGTGTTTCTGTGTGTACATGCCTCTGTGTGTGTGTGTGCAAGTGAGTGGGGTTAGGGTTCACAGAGACAGGAGAGGCTGGAATGCAGTTCTAGTAGGCATTACTGGTTTAAAAAATATTTTCACGACATTTGAGCTTAGTTGGATAGTAAACAATGAGTGACAGCACAAAAAAATACTGTCACACTGGTTTGTCATCTCACAAGACTGCCATCGGGAGACGTTAAAAAAAAATGGTAGGGCATTTTGTTTATCTGTGTGTATGTCCATGTGAATGCAGAGGTATGCACACTCGTGTCTCTCCTCAATATGGACATGAGTATAGTCACCAGCTGCTGCTATCACATGATACCTACATGCAAGACATTTCAACGATGTGCTAAGTTTGCATATTTTGACACCAACATTGGTTAATGAGTTAGCAGGTTAGCGTTATGTTCATTCTAGACATAACAAATTAGCATTGTCTGAAAAGGACATCGCATTCATATAGTCGCCACTATTGGTTAAATGAACATTTTCATTGATTTGGATGATTTTCAATTCATCATTACCAAAATAGATCTTCTACACGGCAGCCATATTGACTTGAAATCGTAGGGTAAATACAGATGATGCAAATGATACTAGGTTATGTTCCGTTCAGGACAAACAGAGTCAGGGTGCTGCTATTGTGCAGGTTGGCTCACTGGAAAGGTTGTGCTACACTAAATGGAACAGAACCTTAATTAGTATCATGTGTACCGTGTTTACCCAACTATTTCATGTCAGAATGCCTTCTGTGAAAAAGGGCTATTGTTAGATGACTGGTTTCAGCGCTAAATCCATACACATTCTCATTGTAAGCACTACTTTTGTTTACACTATTATCGTAAGATCTTCCAAGCTCAGTAAGTGCTGAATCAAACCCATGACATTAAACCGCCGGTCCATTTCAGTCTCTGTCCTCTAAGCGTTCAGGTATGGCTAACCAGCAGATTGGAAGATGATCTTCACTGTGAGATGTCTCTGCTGGGTGTGTTGGCATGTGCAGAATGTGACCCATCAGATCTGTAGCTCGCTGGTATTCACAGGGCTTTACACCAACAGAACTTCGGAGCGTAACAGAGTTACATCACTGTTTTACCACATTATAATCACGTCTGCATGACCTCATGCAGGGTGTGTGAACTATGTATATCAGTGGTGCAGCAGGCTGTTTATAGGCAGTATAGGCAGTGTATTCGTGTTTGCACATGCAAATTTATGTACACATTCTGACACTTTTTCTTTGTTATTAGCTATTCAGTCAGTATATGGGCCTTTTATCTCATCTTGGCTATTTGAAAATTGGTGGGCTTGGACCCTTGAATACCTGCTTGCAAATCAGGTTGTGTTCGCTCATACATCAGTATGTTGGAGAACATTATGCAAACTACTACTTCAGGAAACAGCCCAAAAATATAGGGGTTTAGGGTTGAAAGGAACATCAGACATTGAATTTTAGCCTCTTAAATTCTGTCTTTTCCGGTAAGAACACCACAGAAGGAGAGCGAAAGTTCATCACGCTGTTTATCAGATACTGTAAGTCCTCTCCACTGCCAAAATGTTCAACTCTGTAGGACGAGAGGTTACCGAGTTCGTCCCAGTCCATGAGACTTTTGGTTGACTTGTATTCCCCAGCGGGGCTTACCCATTTTAAATATCAAACACAGAATTCTGTATTAATGTCCGACTTCTTGGATGGTGTCAGCAGTAGTGGGAAAAGTGATGTCCCTTGTGTCAGTGCTCAGCAGCAAGCCAAGTGGGGCCAAACACTCTGTGAGTCAGAGTGTGGGAAGTCATGAGTGTGTCACCAAGAATGTCAACATATTTTCCTGAGGAGGAGGATGTGTTCTCTGAGCGGAGCAGGGCCTGGGGTCTCTCTCTCTCGTTCATTCAACTGCACAAGGCTACGGATTACTTTCATCTTTTAATTAACTTGTCCGTTTCTGTTCTCGCAGACGGTGACGATCCCTCTGCCTCGGCAGTTATTACCTGCAATGTACGTGTGCTTGGATGAACAGTATTTGATTGGCCCGAGCAGTGTGTAGTAAGATTATGTTGCAGTCCCTTGCAGAAAAAAGTAAAGTCATTGTCAGCTTTTTTTTATTTATTTTTTTTACCAGAGTGCCCTCCTTTTGTTTAGTTTGTTCTGCGGCGGTCACCCCCCACTGCATCGCCTCATGAAATGAATGAAGAGTCTGTGTTATTTGCCGCAGAGCCATAATCAGCCCCAAAGAGCCCTTAGCCACAAATATAAACTGTTACATTTAGTGTACAGTTCTGTGTTTTAAACAGAGGATTGCTGTGGACGGGAATGCCCATTCTATACATATACATTATTTTTGGAATGTGATGGAAACCAAATGGCACAACCAATTTGACATCTGCAGATGAAAGACGTTTTTTTTTTCATCTGCAGATGTCAAACATATGTCTGTGTGCATTTATGTACAGTCAAGGATTCTCCGACACAGAAAACACACTTTGCCAGAGCACTGTTGTGTTTTGAGAATATATTAGTGTTATCTGTGTGCATATTTGTGCTTCTGAGTGTATTTACTTGTGTGTGTGTGTCTGTGGATGTCTATTTGGGTGTGTGTGTGTGTGTGTTTTGCCCATTCCCCAGCCACATGTCCTCACCAGTCCTTGACATCTGGTGACCATACCTCTTCTCTGGCTCTGTGACTGTACTTCACAAGCCATGAGAACTGCTGCTGTGTAGGTTGCTGTGGTGTGTGTGTACATACATGAGTGGGTGTGTGTATATGACGGAGAGGGAGAGAGAGAGAGAGAACGAGAGAGATGACCTCAGGTTTGGTACAGATGTTTTCACAGTCTGTGTGCAGCTTTGTGATGTGATCTGCCAGCAAAACTTATGAAGTTGTTTGGTTCTGTTCGTTCTGTTCTCCGTTTACTCCGTTCCTTTCAGCTTTTTTAGGGGTTTGCAATGATCCTTGTTTTCCAGATTTTTTTAAAAACAAGTAGTTCAGTTTAACTATGCCAACCATGAACCCCAATGCCAGGCCCTTATATCCTGTCACTTCTCTACTGTGTGTAATAATGGCTCAAAATGTTCAAAACAATACTCTAAATGACTAAATAGATTGTTTAAATGACTACAGCTACTACATTACAGGCACAGAGAGATTGCTGCCATTATTAACTGTTAGTGGGCGAAGAGCTGTCTCCGGCGTCCAAGTCAGATGATGACTTGTATGACCAACCTTCCACCCCAGCTTCCTGCCCAGGATACTTGCCCGCGTCGCTTGTCAGGAAAATGTAAAGATAAATCATATTAAATGGGCAAATGAGTCATTTATTTTTCTGATGAGGACAAGTGTCTTCTGGTAAAAAGTGGAGAAAATGATGGTGGAGTTGCCGATTTTAATGCAGATGAGTACAGATGGTCCTTTGAAGAAACAGAAATACAACAAGTAGTGAAACAACACCTTATGTTGGAAATAGTATTTCATACATGTCCTTCAATCTAAACTTGATTTTCTTTTTATTCAGTTTTCTCCTGTTTTCTTCACTTGAACAACTTGAACTATTCTATTTTTTTCTTCAGTGTCATTTTGTTTAGCTCTGCCCTTTCCATTTTTCTACTCTATCCAGTTCTCTTGTTTCTATTCTGTGTCACTCAGTTTTACTCCCTTTGAGAGATTATCCAAGGTTTATTCGCGTTTTGGGGTTTTCCCTAATGATTATATTTAGCCGACAGGAAACGTCCCAGAAATCCTTGTTCTGCTCCCACTGACAGAGTGAGAGAGAGACAGACAGAGAGAGAGAGAGAGAGAGAGAGAGAGAGAGATAAAGCCACATACACATCTACAGTATCTCATGCCCTTCAGCCCCAAGCAGAGTTGTACTGGGATCAGCTTTGTTTATATTCCCATGCATATAGTGACTTCCACATCACCTCAGTGCGTTTTTTTACAGTTTCAAACCTCCCACTCACCGTCCGCCCAGCCCAGCCTCCAAACGTCAGCCTCATTCATCTCCACATGAAATTAAGGATTGTTCTCCCTACTCCAGGTTCAATCTCTGTGCCATTTAGAGGCTTCAAGGCCTAATCCCTCCCCTCCACATAGCCTGTAGACCCTAGACCCTGTAGCCTTCGATAAGCCCTGACCCTCTGATACTTCACTTCCTCCCTGCGTACGCCCGAGCATCATTTTTTTCCCCCATCTCTCCAGAATGAGAAGTCGAATGGTACAGAGTGAGTCAGTGGAGTGGGGATTTGCTGTTACACTAATGAGATCAATTTAAACTGAGTTGGACACTGTGCTGCATAAGAGGCCATTAAGTCTCTGCTCACGTTTAAATTGAATGTATGAAAACCTAAATTGCCCCGAAGGGATCTTGTCTTGATGAGCATTAACATTAAAACACTCAATCAATACAACAGTACCCTTAAATAAAAAAATAAAAAATGTTGAAACGACTGAGAGGCTTAGAGCAGTCAAACTTTTAAGTGACCTGTTCTGAGTGGAGATTTAATTTTCCTGTCTTGTGTGTGGTTTTGTTTTTTTGCCTCCCAGGAGAAGCGAAAACGGCAAACTGAGATTGAAGACAAAAGAAGCCAGCTCGATGACCTGGTGCTACAACTACAGCATCTCAAGGTTGGTGTGTGTTACAGTATATTTAAAACATGGGGGTGCTGCTGCTGCTGCTGAAATTACAGCCGGTCCATCTACAATCTGTTTTCATTCAGTGTTCCCAACTTACTCGGCGCACGTAACCTGTTTACACATGGCTTCTAATTTTTTCAGGCTACTCATTCCTAGCTCACTCCGCCATATAAATACATGTCTCATATTAAAAAAAACCCACAAATGATATCATCACAGCTATGACTGTGATTGTAATTTAACTTTTTGACAATGTTGCAAAGCCAATGTGAATTTTTTTGATCCAATCAATTATATATTCATACACAGCTACTGTTTCTGCTGAGATATATGAAAAAATCTCTGCATTATGATGTACTTATCGACCGCTCTGACTACTTGTGTTATTTACAGCTGTATATTCACTGCCTGAATATGTGATAACCTGTAACCGGTTGGTCTAAAATGGGTCTAAAAACATTGCAGAGGTCTGGGTTACAGTACGCCTAACAGTTTTAGGTTAGATATTGAGTTCAGGGTTGGATTAGAATGAGCTCAGTGTAAAGGTGAAGGTAAGGTAGAGAGTTCAGGTTAGGGTTAGAAGTTAACAGATGACCAGATGACCATGAACTATGATCACAAGAAAGCTTTACAAATGTGTGTGTGACACCCATTTCTCTTAATCTACTCAGTCCCTTTTTTTTTCCTACACATAGTTGTAACCTTGACCCTAAATGTCATAGAGCGATAAAGAGACAGTGTGCTCTTAAAGATACTTCATGTGCCTTTACAGTTTTGTTCCAGGCCTGCATGCCTGCTTTACACGTACCTGCGTCAGTTTAATTATTTGCACGGGCAGATAAATGTGTTAGTCAGTGTCTGGCTGACAGGTAGTAGTTCATTCCATCCAAACATCCAAATCTCAGTGCTCCTGGTGTGCAGGCCTGTTAGCGCAGAGTTTCCCTTGGCCCTTTCCAGAAAAACAACTCAAATCCAAACACACATAAACATATCCCTTAATAATTACTGCCAGCCGCTACTGGTAAGCCAAGATTTTCTTTCAAGTAAACACTGATTTAACGTTCAAATAGTAAGTGCTGCGTAAACGGAGACACAAACTGCTGACAGATTGTGAGGTTGAAAAATATGAACAGGCTTTCAGGCATCAGTTAATTTATGTGAGGTTCTTGAACCTTTCAACCAATACGAAATGATTCCCTTGACCTCGCACACGAGCTCAGAAGAACACACAGCCAGCCCTGTCAGGTGGACACACACCAGATAAAGGCATCCTATATATTTTGAAGATTAATTCACCATGTGACGCATGTCCCTTAAAATACATTCTGCCAAATACCTTTAAGACTTTGATTTCGGTTTTCTTGTCATAGTTTTTGAATTTAATTATGTTAAATAATGTGCTGACTGAGTTGCACTTTCCACACACAGATGGCTAAGAGGAATTGTTCGGAAAATCCTGCAGCCCTAAATGCTGCACAGATGCAGGTGGGTGGGGAAACAGCTGTAGGCGCCCATTAATACTACAAATATCTGTGGTAGCCAGTTTTAATATTTGCAATAAAAATACATTCCATTCTCTAATTACAGCCTTTAAACACACTTGGCATGAATGATTCCTTTATTAAATAGGTTTGATTCCTACATGACGGTGTTTCCCAGCATTTAACACCCACTTATGGAAATATCAACCAAACAGGAACATTGATTAAAGCCATGTGCACTTTGTGTATTTGGCCATTAAGGCAATGAGTTTAAGGCAGTACAACCATTAATGAAGCTATCGCGCACGTGTTTCATCGCAGTCTTGAGTCTCAGTCTGCAGTCTCAGCTGCAAAACACACATTAAAACTAATCTAAGCTTTACTGGTCACTGTAGTGTAACTGACCCAGCACCTCATATGATCTATTTGACTTGGTACATATAATTTAAACATATTGTTGTGTGTGTCCTGAATGTAATGCTGATGCAATAAATTCTGCCAGAGTTTTCTTTGCTTTGCTTTACTCTGCATTGAAAGTAATAATCGTAACAAAGTACATATTATATCAACAGCTGACATTTCAGGCTACTTCAGTAACAGCACTTTAGACTACTACTTTTATTCAATCAGTGCTGCATTGCAAAACCCCCAGGGAAGTCAGCATACTGTAATTACACGCAGAATGTTTATACACATAAATGCCTGTTTTCTTTCTCTCTATCACTGGCTGATAATAATTCAGCCAATATCCGGGTCTCAAAAGCTTATTTGCTGTTTTTAAATGCATTTTATGCCTTCATTATATAACTGGCAGTAGAGAGATGGGGGGAATTTAGGGGAGATAGATGGCTTCTCCCTCTGGATTCAGGTTATATTTCAAGACATTGCGGGTCATATGGTGCCATAATCCCTAGGCTCCCACAGGGAATGATGCAACCTATTTTACTATTTTTTTTATCAAGCCACCACAAATGAATAAGGGAGGACTACATGCAGATATCAAACTCAAAAGTCTGAAAGAAGAACACCTCCAGTTATCATAGATATGTGAGATGACCTGCGTATTTATTTACTGTACTTTCCATGCTCCCCAGAGAAAAATAAAAAGAAGGGTGTAAAACAGATATCATCCAAATCCGCACTAACCCAAATATGTTAGCGCTTTGCTCTATCCTCCACTGAGCTAAACGGGGAATTGAGCCTACAGTGCCTGTGTACTGCTCTGTTTAGTTGTCTTGCATACAACACCAGTAGGCTTGAACTCCAGATGTTATCAGCATCTGGTCACAAAGTCCCATTTAATGGCCATTACCTCTGAGTGCCACACAGCCAGGCAGCATGAAGCAGGCTTTGTAGTCGGCTCTCCAGAGACGTCGTGGCCTGGGAGAGGAAATGGAGACTGGAGCCCAGAGATTTGATAAGGACCTCTTGGCTGCATGATTCAAGCCTCTCAGAATGGAGGCGTTGATCTGAGTCTGGTAGCTGTATTTTGGCGAATTGTTTGGTCACTTCTAAATTGGTTATTTCAGTTTATGATGAATAGCATAGACTTTCAAAACAGCCCCAAACCTTCCCTTCAGCTCCGGGTGGTTGTGTGTCAGAGCGCAACAGGAAATGGAAAGTCTATTCAACAGCGTGAGAGAGAGCAGAGAGCAGGCTGGTTCTCAGAGGAACCTACTGGTCACTTATCTTACACAACTTTATACGTCACTGTTTTGTTGACAGCTGACATGGTCCAGAAAACGTACATACTTAAATGCATTTTTGGTACAGTAGTACTTTTTTGATAAAATTCCACAGGGAGGTCAGAGGTCAAGGTCGGCTACGGGCCAGCATCTTCCTCGGGTTAAGTGATTGTTTCTTTGCCTCACATACAAAATATTGCTATGATCTTTATTTGCCAACTGTCTTGAAATCAATAAAACGAGGTGGTAGAACACTACAGCTTTTGTGCCCACCAGAATCAACACAAAATGAAAGCTCCTTCTCTACAGCGAGCAGCAACAGGTTAAAGGTACGCACAGTGATTTGGCAGTGTACAGAAGAGCAATGAGCAATCTCAAAATATACAAAAGGAAAGGTGTGATGGGAAACACTAACTCTTGTGAACTACAAACATCTAAAGATATTTCAGTTTTTTTTATGTTTAAATTTGAATTCACAGGTTAAGTTAGATTTATGGACAGCGTATCCGTTCAGTTTGGTTGACAAATGGGTTTGCTTGATGCGCAAGATCTATGTGAGGTTAGCTCGGCTATGTGGGTGTGCAGCAGCCACACACACAGACGCAAACAAACAAACAGCCCCGCTGCCACATTCTGACAGCAGGTGGTAAAATGCTTTGGAATAATTTCTGCAGAGTTCATTGTGTGCTGTGTGTCTGAGTGCGTTTGTGTATGTGGAGGCCCACATACTGTTTATTGTCAGCTCTACGACCTACAGCCAAGCAACGGTTTTGACAGTAAACAGCCAAAGGTGAAGCTAAGTGCTCGACTCTGTTGTGGTAACAAAACAGAGTTCCAGACAGGGATGAGACATTAGGGGCATAAACACACAGCTCTGGCATTCGTCTTAGTAGTTACTCCTGTGTGAGGAGATGATTTGTACTTTCACCCCTGTTGGTGCAGATCTAATGCGAGGCCTAATGTAAATCTCATTAAAGAACTTAAGTGACTACATCGGACATCAACATGTCATGGAGACAAAGCTGCAGACAGAACTGCTATAAACACAGAGATAACAGGATAATTTCATCAGTTTGGTTAAACGTCAATGGGGAGAGCCAAATTGCCATAGTTTCTCTGGATTATTAACATCACAAGGCCGATAAAACAGGAAAGAGGTACTGTAAGAGAGGAGAACTCTTACATTACACTTTATCCATATTGATGTGTCTTCAGGCAGCAGCTGGATAGCAGATATACTTTTTGTGGAATGTTTGTGTAACAGAAACTGCCATCTGTCTCATCACACAGCAGTGAAATGATCAAAGAGCATAATGCTCACATACAAGAATCTAGTTCTGTAAATTATAATAGGAACGCACAAATGTCCCAAATGAAAGCACAAGGCAAATTGTTTGGAATTTGAGGAAAACATATTTAATAAAGTTCACAGAAAACGTTCAGGAATGAAGACAAACAGACTTGTTTGTGGATGAGCAAAACCAACAAAATGTGTGTGTGTGTGTGT